TATTTTCCTGTTATAGGACTTGCCCCCTTTTCAGGAAGAGTTTTTCAAGGAATGGAGAGGAGGCATAATTTTCATTAATATGTACAATCACATGATGAACTTTCTTGCACACTGTTTTGGGTAATGTTCCCCTCCCCATCTCTCCTTGGAGAGAGAAAATTAGTTTTGTCAAAGTAATTCTCAATGCATTTACAATCATCTGAGATTTAATTCTCATCTGTTTTTGTGATGTATTTTATATTGCTCTCTTGGATTTGTATGAAGAATTTTCTAATATTTTCTCTACTGAATAATTTGTAACCCTCCCTTCTCCCTGTTTTCTAAATCTTACCAATCCATACACACAGATACATGTGTCCAGAAATTCCATAAAAATTGTCCTGAGGGGCCTCCCCGGTGGCGCAGCGGTTGAGCGCTGGGTTGCGAAGCGGCCCGCGGCCTCTGCGGCGCCGGTTCGATCCCCGGCTGCTCCCCGGCCACCGGAGGAGGGTCCCGCATGGCGCGCAGACCTCTCCTGCCGCCCGCTGCTCCCCTCAGCAGTGTGCTTCGGTCCTTCTGCCTGCTCTGCCCCCCGCTCTGGCTCTGGTGAATTCTCTCACCCTCCCGTGCTTCTGACTGTACCCAGTGCATGTATAAACAAAAAAAAAAAAAAACAAATAAATAAATAAAACATGCCTCTATAAAAAAAAAAAAAAAAAAAAATTGTCCTGAGGGGGAAATTATGAGCTGTTCTCTTCAAAGATATATGTCAGTACTTAGATCATTGAAAAAATATTTCTTCTATTATGTCTCTTGCACAGTTACAATTGACATATCTCCTTAAGGAGCCACAACCACAAAGTAGCTTATTCAACAAAAAATAAGTTTATCTCCAAAAATGTATATTAAAATGTTAGTCTATTCAGCCATAGGTCCAAAAAAAGACCACCCATTTACCTTCATTTTACAAATGAAAAAGATGAAGGCCACAAAGTCATCTAACTCTCAGTTAGTCTTGTTTTCTGTTTACCACATTGTCAAAAGGCAGAGTGCAGGTTTGTAGAATGTCATGAATTCGTGTATTCCATGTCATAAATAATTTCTGGTCTTCCATTTACTATGCAAAAAAATCATTGAAAGCATCAGAATTCTAAGATAAAAAATGAGATGGCATGTGTACCCACATGTGTGTATTCTACAAGGCCTTATTTAATTACTGGGTAAATGGTAAATAGAAACCCTTATAGTTTCAGTTCTGATTCTACACCTGCTAATTGGATTTCACCGTATGGATTTAGTAAGCCAATTATTGTGGTTCTTAAGTAAACATCCTTTGGAATTCATACATATGACAAAGCTGGTTTCTCTTTCACTTGGTGGAATCAGTGACTAAATTAGAGGTAGACCAAGTTGACTTTGCAAAAGTAATCTAGATTATAATGAAAGAACTTGATACTTATTTTAGTAACAGCATTATGATTAATGGAGAAAAAACAGAAAAGTAGAATCCTAAAGGTCTTCCAAGGGCAGAAATTCATCTTTTTTTTTTTTCTTTTGTCCTGACAGGTATGCACACACATTATTCTGAACCATTCTGCTTTACATGTAATTCCTAGCTGACAAGTGTCCGTTTTTCATACTTATTCACTTGTTATTCCTGTGTTCCCTCTGCCTGCAAGGCATCAGGTCTGCCTTTTTTCACATCTCTCCAAATGATAAAGGATCTGCTTAAAATGTTACCCACCTTTTACTTCCAGAGTAACTTGGAAATGAGTGGCTGCAAAGATGTGCTGTACAGCAACATCTTTTCTGTGCTCATTACACAGCCAGAAAGCCAGAAAAGAGGTTTTATGCCAGGAATTAAAATGGATTTTTCAGGAAGAGACATTACCTTGTGAGGCTTAAATGTGACATCATTTTTTAAATTAGATAAAATTTATATAGAGTTGAAAGCCAAACCACTTAAAAATAATTGTATGGTATTCAATTATGGCTCACTTAAGCCTGTTTCTTGAAGTTCATGCCTCTTCTGTACTGTCACCATTTTCAATCAAGAAATAAGGATCCTCATGAGATTTGTCTTCATAGGGCAAGAAATGGAAAACTGTCCCCAAAACTATACCATATCCAAGCAAGAATTATGGCATGCTGCATTCAAAACCTACCAACCTGGAATAGTGCTGCTGACTAATGTCACCATAACATTATGCAAAATAGTACTCCCTTCATCACAGCTTGGCTTCTACTCTGCATGTTAGTCCTAAATTTCCCAAGCCAATTACTTTTTCTCTCCTTTAAGTCCTTCATGCATCCGTTCTTTTGGCCTCCCTGCTTCTTAAAACTATTTTGCTCCTGGCTCCTCTGAAATGTATCTCTTCGGTTTCTCTCCTCTTTGTTCGCTCCCTACTCTAACATTTTTTCTGAAAGATTTTCTTCTTGAATGTTGATTTCCTCTTTTTTATGTTGTAGTCTCTCCACTTCTAATTACGTATTTCCAGTGCTTCATCTGTCTCCTAGACAATGAAACACAATAGTGTTTAGTTTGAAAAACCATAATTTGTTCCGACTGAATGTTTCCATTTGAAAATCCTTAGACACCCCAAACTGAACATCTACTAAAATCAGTATACTGTCTTTCTCTCCATTTTCCTTCCCAATTTTGAACTATTTAATTTAAAGATGATACTAACTTAAAAATTACAGTAGCTAAAAGTATAGCAATACCCATACCTCCTGGGACTTTCCAGGTATATAGGGATTCCCAGATATAAGATTTATTTATTTCTGGAATCTACTTTCTGTCCTTATAGTCTTTTATCACTAGTTGAGCTCAGGACTCCATTATCTTTCTGGTTTATTCAAATGGCTCCCTAACTACTTTTTGTCTTTTTATCACAAATAGTCCATTTGTTGCTTTCAGAGAACATGACACTAATCTCCCTTCTTTCCTTTGTAGTTTTTGAGGGCTTGAAATCCCATCGCTTGACAGAAAGACTTTTCCTAAACTTCAGTTTACTGTCCTAGTCTTTATTCTGTGTCTTACACATCCTCATCCAAAGTACCTAATAAAGTATCTGCCATAAGGAGATAATAAATATCAAAGAAACTTGTTTTGACTATTTGTATACATAGATTACTCACTTTTATTCCCAGCCTTCAGTTTTTGATATGCTGATTAATTTAACAGAAGAGAGTGAACAATATGTCATTTGATTTGAGAATTTATTCTAATCATTATGCTTTTACCCCACCCCCCTCAGATGGGAGTTCTTTCAGAATCATTTCTCACAAACAAATAAACCCTGTCAGGAATATTTTATCCCCTAAATTTATTACTGCTCTTGTTTCTGTTAGCATTTAGTATTTTGCCAAATGTGTACCTTAATGTAGATCAAAAACAAGTAAAAACTACCATACCAGAAGAGAGAGAGGAGAAAGTTTGAATGTTTTTGTTGGCAGGTCACAGATTGACCAAAAGAGATGTGGGGGAGATGCATAGATGGCAGGCTATGTGTCAAGTTAAGGATCCACAAGGTCTAACACCTCCATTACTTTATCATGAGTTTTAACAAATAGCAAATATGAGCAATGGAATTTTTTTTCTTCATGGATCTCTCTGAGTCGTCCTTTCTTATAACTGCTTGAAAGATATTAAGGATGTGCCTCCAAAATCTTGAGATTTCCACCCATTTGCACATTAGGCTAATGACTGCTTTTAGATTCTTAAGTCTTTATCAAGGACATGGGATAAAAGTCTAGAGGAAGTTTTTTTTTTTTTTTTTTTTCTAAATCAACTGGGTAAAATTATTAGGAGGAGCTGGATAGTGCATATATGAAATGAATTTTGGAGTATTATTTTTAAAATGCTGCTTCAACACTGGATGCTGAATTATTAATTTTTCAAAACTTTGCTGGTTCAAATAAGAAGCTGGTTTCTAACATTTTTATGTCTGTCTATACCAGTTTTTAAAAGTCTGCTTACTGCATATGCCCTAGCAATTATTACTACATAAGTATAAATTAAGAACTTGCTGCATATGACCAGAAATGACTTTATAAATTTTATTAAAGAAAGCTCACATAATTACTTATGGAGGTATTTGATGATTAATCCCAGTAGTTACACTTTTTCTGGCCTTGTGCTTTGAGATATTTCAGGAATTTACATTCATTCTTCCAGGACTCCAGCATTCTATTGTATACTCAGGAAAGGAAACTTGCTTTTGAATTGCTGGTCAAAAAGATATCAGAGGGCCTCCCCGGTGGCACAGCGGTTGAGAGCTGGGTTGCGAAGCTGCCCTCGGCCTCTGCAGCGCCGGTTCGATCCCTGGCTGCTCCCCGGCCACCGGCCACCAGAGGAGGGTCCCACATGGCGCGCAGACCACTCCTGCTGCCCGCTGCTCCCCTCAGCAGTGTACTTCGGTTCTTCTGCCTGCTCTGCTCTCCGCTCTGGCTCTGGTGAATTTTCTCACCTCCCGCGCTTCTGACTGTACCCAGTGCATGTATAAACAAAACAAACAAACAAATAAATAAATAAATAAAACATGCCTCTATTAAAAATTTTTTTAGATAATAAATAAATAAATAAAAATTAAAAAATAGATATCAGAGTTATTATAGCATGAGGACTATCTATTGTGAAGAAAGGGAAAACGTTTATGCCTGTAAGGGATTCTGTATATATAAGAATCATGATTTTTTTTTAATTAAAGAATGTAATCATCATAGTTTATTATCAAGAAACACTAGGGATGGTCATTGAATGATCTTCACTACTTATTAGAATGAGGCTTTCTAAAACATTCATTGAAGGTTAAAGTATGCACAGCTTATAGCTTCTGAATTTTATAATTTCCACCACACAGAATATAGTCACCCAGATTATGGCAAAGTACTAAAAACATATGTTTAAAATATATAAAAGTACATAAAATACTGAACAAATAATTGTTATTGTGCTTTCTGTAAGTGAATAAATGTTAGTTTGTCATTCATGTTTTTTATTACTTGTACCCATTCAGATCTACGAAAGACATTTGAGCAGGAACCACTGGGAAAAGAAGTGTCTTTGGAACAGGAAGTCTTGCTCCAGTGTCGACCTCCTGAAGGGATTCCTGTAGCTGAAGTGAGTAACAAAAGTTTTTTGCATTCAGCTATGGGCACTTAGCTGTTCTTAGAGTGGCCTAACCCATGGTTAATGGTGCAGTGAATTAGGGTATGGCATGATGAATGGTTGGTAATGGAGTCCTAACTGTCTGCTGCTGGCAAAATATATTGATTGGGAACTGATTAATGACTAGGGAGTCAATTAGGATGCTCCACTGGACTAAGTCACAGGCAGCTTGGCTTCAAAAAAACAGGAATGGAGGCACTATTTTATCTCACACTTATGAGAAAGATTATATAACTTAATAATGTACACTCAATTTCATTATTGTTCCTGATAATATACAAAAAATGTATGAAGGATGAATGTGTATGTGTGCTCTTTATATTACTGTAGAGATATCTAAAAGAAATATCCACACCCCATGAATAAAAACATGTTAGATGAATAATCTGCCAATTTAGTTTAATCCTGTAATTTACACATCAACCTCTTCATCTTCATTTTTTGCTTTTGTTGAAACAAAGATTTTGATTGCCAAGGAGCTATTATGAGTCAGATTCATACTGTGACTTTTCATCAGCATCAACAGTACAATGCCCTTTGAAAATGTGGGACTGTGGAGAAAGGGTCTATAGGACCGGAAGAGAGCCCAGATTCTCCTTGAGAAACTCACCATCACCTTCTAGCCATTGAGAAAAATCATGTAATATTGAGTCTTCCATTTGTTAACAAGTAATTCAAATTTCTGAAAAATGTTATAGTTTTCATGACTATTAGTACACATCCTAAAATGTGTTAAACATTAATTCCTTAGTGTAGCCAGTGTTCTATGAACCCAGAAACACTTTGATAAGTAACATAGCCGTCATTTATGACTTGTTAGTCTCCAGACTTCATTGAGTCCTTTGGAATTATTGCTCTTTATTGCATATATTAAATTGCATTTTTTTATTGTGTTGCAATTTTGCATTTTTTCATTGTTACAATTTAGGGCGTATATTTGGGTCTGTTGAATTTTTGTAAAAATGTGCTTTGAATTTCCCCTATTTATGAATTTTCTATTACTGAGACTTATGGAATTTTTCAAAAAAAATGTTTAATAATTGAAAATGTGCTTACTACTAGATTTCTTATTGAAGTTATTGAAGTTCTTATTTCTGATTGAAGTTTCAGGCAAAGGTGGAGTCATCTCTGTTAGAAGCTCCCATAACAACAAAATTAAACATCTAATTGCTCTTTAACAGCAATAATTAATTAATTAGAAATTTAGGCAGGGTACATAGAAAATAACTCCATTTTTTCATCACAATCATCCATATATCTGTGATTCAATTAAAGACTCAGTCAATGCAAAGAATGTTGCACTCATAATTAAATGTCCTTTCTTTACACTGAAAGAAGACAGTAATTTTTTACCTTGTAACTTCCAGCCCATGGCCCTTTTTAGCATTCTGTCAAGACTTTGCATGATTGTTTCTGTTTAGTTGAACCACATCCAAACCACACCTAGACATGATTTTAGGTGATTAGAAAAGAGGGAACTCTTCTTTACTAAATATTTTATTTCACTTGTTATGTTAGTGCATCTGTCTCATTATATTGCTAAATATCTTCCATTAAGCAACCTTAAAGATCAAAATGTATCATGTGTTACATGGGTACTTGATGTTTCTGAAAGATAGTTGCTTTACACAAAATCTTTCAGTGAAGAGATCTCAGTAACTTCTACATTTTTTGTAATTCTTCTTTACAAAGTGAACCACTTTGTCAGGGAGTAAAGATTCCTGACTGCAAACTAATTGGCTGTGAATTTTATTTGTATCATCACTGGGGAAGAGACCAATTAACACTTGGCAAGCTCAAAAATCATATACTATTTGACATCCAAAGAACTATATTTAATGTGTTTTTTGTTTTCCTTTTCTTTTTTTTTTTTTTGAAGTTAGAAGAGATATCAAACATGCATGCTCAAGAACAGGCTAATATGGGTCTCCCCAGTGGCACAGCGTTTGAGCGCTGGGCTGCGAAGCTGCCGGCAGCCTCTGCAGTGCCAGCTCGATCCCCGGCCGCCAGCAAGTGTCCCACATGGTGCGCAGACCTCTCCTGCTGTGCCCGCTGCTCCCCTCAGCAGTGTACTTCGTAGGTCTGTCTGTTCTGTTCCCTGCTCTGACTCTGGTGAATTATTTCACCCACCCACACTTCTGACTGTACCCAGTGCTTGTATAAATAAATAAATAAATCTTTAAGAAAAAAAAAAAAAGGAACAGGCTAATAAACTCCTATGTAGATTCTTCTAAACACCCTTAGAATCACTAAGATCAAAAAGCTAACATGACACCTTACAACTATCACTTGCTCAAGAGGGGTGGATAAATTAGAGATGAAAGGTAATTTGGTGTTTTAAAGAATTATAAGGTTATTTTATTTTAATGATAATACATTCTTTTTAAATGAAATTTCATTTGTTTTATAAATCATAAAGAATACAAATATAGCATAGAATAAAATAATGACCTTAAAGGGAAACCAGCAGTTAAAACTCTAATGTTTTATTATAAATAAAGTAAGTCATTTAGATATCAGTGACAGGGCAAGGAATTGTGCTTTTTCTGTTTCCAACACAAATGATTCTGAAAAAGTCAAATAGTAAATGTTCAATGAACTCATGACCAATCAATTTAATTGGTCTTTGTTTTATAATGATGTGTCTAGCTCCATTGAGGAAGTAATCAGATCAGGTATATTCTTTTCAGAATAGCACCAGGAAGTAACTGTCTTTGTTTCCATCCAAATCAATAATTGTTTTAAACATTTATTTTATTTGTACAGGAACTGTGATACAGGCCAGAGATGGGGAGGGTGAGAAGATTCACCAGAGACAGAATGGGGAGCAGAACAGGCAGACAGACCAAAAGCACTGCCGAGGGGAGCAGCAGGTGAGACAGGAGAGGTCTGCTGTGCCATATGGGTATCTCCCTGGCTGGCTGAGAATTGAACCTGCGCTGCAGAGTCTGTGAACCAATAGATTTTAAAAGAACTCTTCAAATCTTAAGTTACAGTGGCAACTACTTTGGTGCAAATAATGGCATAAGCTTTTCTGAGAAATTTAAAAAAAAAAAAGCATCTAATTGTCTTCACTAACTTGACTTTATTATCCACTGTGGAATGTTAAATTCATTTTCTTACAGAATTCTAGTTTAACATCTAAGTTTCACTATTTTTAACTCTTTGACTTTGGACATGGTATTTCAAAACTGTACTTAAGTCAACTCAATTTTAAGAGGGAGATAATACTACCTCTACAGAGTGTAGTTGTGTTTAAAAGAAATGATACATGCAAATCACTTAGAATATATCAAAATCACTGAACATCAGTCATTAATAATACTATTATTGTATCATCACCTGTTGATTCACGGAAGACTTTATTCAGTGTCTTGAATTCCAAATAGTTACTGAGCACATTGTACTTCTGCTGGTAGTGTGAGGTATGGTATAGGGCCATGAGGTTTGTGTTTTGGAAACATGACCAAGATGTTTTTTTTGTTTTTTTTTAAAGATTTATTTATTTATTTATTTATTTATTTATTTATACAAGCACTGGGTACAGTCAAAAGCGCGGGAGGGTGAGAGAATTCACCAGAGCCAGAGCCGGGAGCAGAGCAGGCAGAAGGACTGAAGTACACTGCTGAGGGAAGCAGCGGGCAGCAGGAGAGGCCTGCGCTCCATGTGGGACCCTCCTCTGGTGACCGGGGAGCAGCCGGGGATCAAACTGGCACTGCAGAGGCTGCGGGCAGCTTCACAACCCAGTGCTCAACCGCTGCACCACCGGGGAGGCCCCAAGATGGTCTTTTGTATCCTCTAGCCAACTGCTTGTGTATGGTTCATAAAATCTACAAGTCAAGTTAACATTGCACATTTTAAAACAATGCAAGTCCCCCAGTTCATGTAAATATTTATTTTACAAATGTCTTGATAATGTAAATATTTATAGCAAGACATCACTCTAATCTTTTCAATTATTTTATTAAATCCTTTATTTCAAAAATTTTACAAAGACATCTATTAAGTATGAATACTCCAAATGTCACCTGTTTCATATTAACAGTTACAAGTAAGTAGAAAGGAATTGAATCATGACTTGGGTGAGCTGAAGCTTAAGTCATGGTGAATTTAACATTTTTTATTATTGAGATAATGTTGGCTCACATTATTGTTGGATTTTGGAAGTGTAGGATCCACCCCCTTAGCTATAACCATATTAAATACATCTGCCACCAAATCACCCATATCCCACCACCATAGCCCATTGTGATCCCTTCCCTGTTTGTCCCAACCCCTCCTCCTCCCTATAAACCTCTGAAGGCCTCAGTTCAATGGTCAGTTTTCAAGGGTTAGTTTTTAAGCTTATCATTACCCGATCCATAGCTTGGCTTCTCTTTTTTCTCCATATAAGTGACACTATCTAGTCACTGATTTATTTCACTTGCTATTATTCCCTCCAACTGTGATTTTTAAAGTTACTTTTGCCCAAATAGTCCTCATGGTTCCCAGACACTCGACCAGTCTTCATCTACACCATGGAATATTACTCAGCATTCAAAAAAGATAAACACATGCAATTTGCAGCAACATGGATGGTGCTGGAAGGGATCATGCTCAGCGAAATAAGCCAGAAAGAAAAAGAAAAATACTGGATGGTCTCACTCATAGCAGGAATCTAAAAAACTTAAATAAGGGACCAGAAAAAAGAAAATAAGACTATAAGAAAGTAAATATCAAAATCAACAAACAACTATGAACCAGAGACACTCTATGGGGGGTGGTGGGCAGGGAGGGGAGGGATTGGGGTCAAAATAAGGGGGTCGCAATTGTATGGGGAATATAAAAATAAAATGAAATTTGGCTTGAGGCTAACCAATTTACAAGAGTGAGCAACAAAGGAAATCTCCCTCCAAAAAGGGAGAGGCTAACCCAGAACTCCATATGTTACACCTCTTCAGGTGGTGGCAGTT